GGGGGGGGGGGGGCCCGTGGTGGGGAACTTTTAGACCAATGTGCCGCCAGGGCTCCTTAGCATACTTTTCATGCAAAACCATAAGACTCCCACAAACGACCAGCAAAGCAAATCGACCTAACAAAAAAGTAATTTGCACGAAACCATGACACACACAAAGCAAAACAATGCTTCATATTTTTTTTAACCATGCATCATCAAAAAGTACATACAGACGCAAACTTGTGATTTTTTACCTTGAAATGTTAAAGTAAAAAACCACAAGTTTTGTAAAAGAACCTGGATAAAAAGGACAACATAGAACCAGACTCATCCTTACCAAAGCTCTCCCTGAAGGAAAAAAACATAGAAATCCTTTCTGCTAAATGGATACCGCTTCGTTTGATGTCTGTTTTTAAGCTGGTGACCTGGATTACCTGAACTTTGGATTACCTGAAACTTCACAATATGTTACAAACAGGCGATTTGTAAACTATTTTAGTAGCACCACAAACGTATTTAATGCGAATGCGGGGGCGAAAAACATTAGGTTTTACATTTCAGGAGAGGATAATACCTATTTGGATTTGAGTTCAGTAAGGTTGTTTGCAACTTTGCAAAATAACGATCGAACAAGACACCATTTCTTACGTCCATTAGGAGGCTTACATGCCTTTATTCAACGATACAGAGCAATAGTAGGAGGTCAAATGGATCGAAATATTGTTGAATACAATAGACACTGTGAGTTGTATGTTAGAGACATGGATGACATAGAGATGTCAGCTAACCCAAGATGGGACGCTGACTTTCATGACTATGCTACAGTAATGGTTTGGATGTATTATTGCAGGCTACTACTGCTGGTGTTACTCCAACCCCCGGTGTAGTAACTGTATCCCCTGACGGTGATAAAAATGAATGGGGTAGAATAGATAAAATATACAGTATACAAGACACTCATTGACAAGAATTTCCGGCGCTAATGGTAAAGCCCGATTCAGCCATAAGCCTGTTTGTGGGTTGATGCAATCAAATTATTATTTACCTTTGAGGTATGCGCCTTTGGAATTAGAATTCGCAATTGTTAATGATGAATTGGTACCTATTGTAGAACCACAAGGAGGCGCAGTAGGAAGCCCGAACACTCAAACTGACAAACAGGGGTATTACTTTCAAGCAGCTAACACTTCTACACAGTGGGAATTAAACAATGTTATTATCAGAGCTGAAGTAATGACTTTAGACAACACTGTTAATAACAACATAGTAAGACATTTGTTGGACGGTGAGTCACTAAAACTGGTCTTTCCTATGTATCACACACTAACACAAACCTTCAACACAGGAGGCGGTGAATTGGATATGAACATTGTTAAGTCATCATTCAAACTCACAGGAGCATTCAGTACTTTATACAGAACACCAGGAAATGGAACTATCAATGCTAACTATTTGCCAGACAACTATGTTCATAAGCGATGGAACTACTTTTACAATTCTCAAATTAACTCATTCATCTGGGACAATGGAGCAGTAGCAAATCCTCAAGACCAAGGCAAAGGTTTCCAAGACTATGGTAGAAACTTATAATGGCAAATCCAGTTAGGCAACAAAAAGTATCCAGAGTTTGAGGCACAATCATTATCATGCAGAAACCTTCTACTATTTGCGAGGAGCCATACATTACATGAACCCGGACCAAGATGCATTGATTTTCAGTTACAGGCAATACAGAGAAAACACATTTATTATTGGTATGTCATTTGAAAAGATGGCTGACGTCAACTTTACTGGAGTTAACACAAAAATGGGTAGTTTAATGACTATGAAAATCCGCCCTACTGAAGGAACTCTAAACACTACACCCGGTGATAGCACTAACGCAATTTATGCTGAAGACATTCAAGAGGTTTTTACCCACCTTATTAGTGCAAGCGTGTTAGAAATTTGCGAACGCGGGTATGTGGTATACGATTAAAATAATAAGTCTACATTATTAATACATTTGTCTAAAACAAAATATATTAATAATGTTTAAGTATCATAAATACAACAACAAAACAGGCACTAAAGCACATCTTCACAAATTTTTAATAATCTTTAGTTCATTTGATATGAGAGATACAAGTTATCTGGAGCATTTACACAAGGAACTTAAGTTAAGAAATGCAAGAGAGGGCATGGTAGCATTAAGAAAGGACATGATACAAGCAAATGCTAGGTCAAAGTATCAAAATGAACTGGACAGGTTGAGAGGCGAAGTCCAAAGAGACAACCTACCGCACAACACAAAAGAACACAGCATTAAGCAACCTAAAGGCCTATTTTTTTGCATAAATATATTAACATGTTTACCTAACATATTAATATATGGCAACTATGGCATTGGAAATGATAAATTCTTATTCAAAATATGAATTGAAGAGGCGACCAACATATGATGAAATAGCAGGGTTGATAGGAGAAAATGAAACATTAACTGGAAGCCTTCCAGACAGAAGGGCTACATTTTTTAAAGCAAGTCCTGAAGGTAGCCTTTGATGGCATTTGAAGTATTGAAGGAACAAAAAAAACAGAATACAAGAGAGACAGATGAGAGAACTATTATTGAGACACAATTTAGGAGGTGGAACAGTTCATGTTGAAAGGATGAGGCAACAGAGTAGAGACACAACCCCAATAGAAGCAGAGACGCCAAGAGATGACAACGTTAATAATGCATCCATTCAAGCACAACTACAAGAAAGAGCCAGAATGGCACAGGAGAGAAAACAACAAGGACAAGCACACCAAAGTTTATTAAGTAGGAGCGCCACACCTGTTATTGATATGATATTTGGTGGATTGAGTAGAACAAGTAGCAGAGTAGGAACGCCAATGGCTCAACCGGTGCCACAATTAGCAATTGATTTAACACAAGACAACCAACGAGCAGAAGATGAAGTAGAAATGATGACAGCAAGGGAAGAACGCGAAGCCCCTGAACCCAAACAAGCAGTATTAAGAAGCATTAGCTATAGATTAAATGTAGGAACTATGAGCGCAGAAGCATTGAAATTTCAATTGTTTTTGAGAGGCTTTGATGTAGATGACCCAGAGAATGAACTACCAACAAGAGCAAAAGGCAAAGGAGGAGGCAAAACAACAAAGCAATATTATGTAGATGTTGATATGATGCAAACCGGTGTATGGCAAAGAAGAATTGAATCAGAACTATTGAAAAGCAAAATTAAAGAATACAGAAACAGACACAGCGCAAGGGGAAGTGAAATGGCATAATTAAGAATAGAATCTAATTATTATTAATCATGATTTTAGTACACAATAGACTGAAGAAATACATATAATAGATGATGATGAGTACTTACATTATTTTTAAATAAGCCAACAGAAAGAAGAGAACGAAGTAATGAGATAGAATCTGAAGATGAGGCAACACAATTCCCAGAGATAGAGAACAAACAAACGCAAACCGATAAGAAAATTACGTTTGACAAAGAGACTGAAACAGTAGATAAATTAAACCGGATAATAGGAAACTATATTGTGAAGATGAGTTCAAAGAACTTCAAAAGTTTAGAGCCATCAAGTAGTGATTTTGAGCCATCAAGAAGTGATAAGATGGT